TAGGGTGCCTTAATGATAGTTTCACATGATAGAGGAGTCAGTCACAGTCTTTTACTTTCAAATTGCTTATATTTCTAAGGATTTGGCAGTTTCCCCCGTCTCATGTGTCTCAAAGCACTAGGACTAGGATGAAGCCTGTGTAGACTGAAATCTGCATCACAGCTGTTCAGAAACAAGTATAAGATGTATTCAGTAGATGATAGTGCCCATTTCAGTTGGAATAAAGAAAAGCGTATTTCCTAAGATCACTGAGATGTATTTCGGCCTCAGAGAGCTGGGCCTGCTAGGTCTAACTTACTGCACCACTGAATTTCAGCAGTAAAGGCTTACCTTACCTAATAGACAAATGGACACGTGAATATTTTGCAGAGAACACAAAGTATCAGATCTAGTGACACATGGAGAGAAAACTACCTTTTGCCCCAGAAGGAAAAATAGAGCCCGGAGACAGTTGTTTTAACTGAGGAGCACAAAGGGGCTACCAGTCGGGAAACATGTTTCCACAGGTGCAATAGTGTTCAGCAGCCGCGGATTATCAGAGCCACACATACGGCACCAAGATGAAAGGGAGCGAGTCAAGGCGGCAACGGCGCACCCCGGGGTCAGGATGCCTGGGTGCCTCTGGCCTCGCCCAAGGGCCGCGTGCGGCCCGGGGGGCTCCGAACGTGTTGCGTTTGCCCCGCGTGCCTGCAGGGGGCGCCCCCTGTGGAGCCGCTCGCCAGGCCGAGGCCCAGACAGACCCCTGAGGGCAGCCACGGGTGCGTGACGACGAAAGAACAGTGTTCTCCATGAAGTGGGGAACCAGAATACGTCGCCCTGAAACCGTCCACTTGAGCACCTCGGTGATAATGTTCAATTCCAGGCACTTAAGAAACAGCACGTACAAGCGTGAATCCCTTTTTTGCCTGAAAGGAGATCAAACCCCCACATGAAAGCTACCCTCCCTGGACCAGGAGGAAGAAACTCCTCCAGCCCGTTAGTGTCCCCCGAACGTCTCTCTTCCCACAGTTTGCTGACCTTGGAGGCCTAAAGCTGCTCTCCTTTCTCCTGTCATTTCCCTACGACCTTATAGTTCTCGCTTGAAAGCGCCATGGACGTTGGGATTCTGAGCTGCCGTTGGGTTACTGCTCGTTTAGCCTTCCCTCGGGTGATGCGCATTGCACACGTCAAGAAGCTGCTTGTTTCGCTCTGCTGTTTCGGCTTGATTATCAACCAAGAACCCCGAAGAGGAATAGAGGGGACATCACTGCCTCCCCTGCTCCTGCCGAGGGCTGACACTCTCCCCACCCCCACCCCAAGACTCCGCGTGTCTTGGGGGCGCGCAGGCCGCCGCAGGCGCTGACGGGTCAGGCGACGTCTCCGAGCGCCACCCCGCTCCCCCGGGGAGTCACACGGGACTCACGGTGTGAATGTTAGGAATGGTGGGAAGAATTTGCCCTTAAATGCTAAGATTCTCCCTGCATTTCCTCTTGAATCACAGCACCTATACCTGCTGTCATTTTCAATGTTTATTCATCCCACTAGGAAGGAAATACGCCGAGTTTCTGACCCTGGCGTTTCGCATGGCTGCTGACGCGCTCCCGCGGACCCCAGAGCCCCTCCCTCCGAGGCAAGGCCAGGGCGGGTTGTTTTTTCAAACCATGGTGAAAATACACATCACATACGATTTACCATTTTAGCCACTGCGATAAGCATAGTTGGTTCGGTAGCATTAAGCGCATTCACATCCTTCTTGGGATGTTCTTTTGGTTCTAATTTTAAAATGACTCTGGGATTAAAACACAGGGTCATAATTTGCCCGGTGTACGCTCCCCTTCATTCCGGGTGCCGTCTGTGCGGTTCCATCGTGTTGGCCCATCTCCTTTTCTCTTTAATGGTGAGGAGGCAGTGCAAGAAATTCGAAAGTGGCCCAATTGCAGCACTGTACATTCAAGATGATCTACGCCCCGAATTGGCCATAAACATGGTCCAGACATTAAAGTTCAGGTGTGTGGGGAAAATGGAAATTTCTGACTAGGATTCCTACCTGGCCGTGACATGGCCCACTGTGCACATAGCGAGCCTGCTTTGCGTGCTTACCCGTGGGCGCGGGTCTCCGAGCGCGGGCCCGGGGGAGGGGTGGGGAGGAAACAGCTATTCACGCGGTGCCTCGGTTCCCGGTATATAATCGGCTGGTCATCCGTCAGTCACCAGAGACCCGCCCACAGAGCTCCCCCCAGGGCTAGAGACTGAATCAGAGGGCAGAGAGTCCCGGGGGTACCAGGGGAGAGCCGAGGGGGTGGGCACAGCAGAGGAGGTATTCACCGTGGGGTGCAGGCATCTTGGGGGGGTGGAGAGGGGAAGCAGGGGAGAGGGGCTGCTCAGCCCCGGGGCTGCTGCTCGCAGGAGGGAGACAGAGCCACCAGTGGGCGGCCGCGCAGGGGAGCAGGGGCGAGCGTCACCAGAGCAAAGCCCAAGCTGGGACCACTGAGAACGAACGTGGTGTGGGCGCCTTTCAGTCCCCAACTTCTTGCCCTCGTCTTTATTCAGTCTCACCGAATTCATAAAGAACTTGCCCTGGGCAGGGAACCCCCTCCTCCCAGAGCAGCAGTGCGCCTCTGATGAAGCCCCAGCATTTATGATCAGTCTTCTCCATGTGCTAACAGTTCCCTCCCTCTTTTCACCTGATGCCTGTCAGGTTGTTCATGGAGGGATTGGACCCCATGTGGCAAGGGCTGGATCATCCCACACACAAAAAAGGATGCGCGTAGGCCCGCGCTCCTCTGACCCTTCCCTGACCCCCGGCATGTCAGCAAATGTGTCCCTCCTCCTGCTAAAAGCCAAACTGAAGGTAAGACTCAGATAGAAAGGAAACCAGAATAAAGTTACGAGCTCCAGACACTTCAAAGCAAAGTAAAACGAAGCAAATCCTAAAAAAAGCAAGAAGGGCGGGCCGACCCCCTGTGCTTCAGGAGACACCCAC